AAGTTTATCTCTTTCTCAATCCCTGTTGGTTTTTACTTGTGTTATTTTTGCGGATATCCCAACCCTTTTTGGGTTTTTTCTGAGTTTGAAAGCCTTGAGTGTTCTTCATGTTCTTCAAATTTTTTGTATGGGCTTTTCGTTAGATCTTTCTCGCTCGAACTTTCCTTTGAATTTCTTGTTTGCCCCTACTTTTCCGCATATCGACTTTAGGTACAAAATCGATTTGAACTTCTTTAGGTCGATTTAGGTTTGATTCTTCCTGACATTCACCGTATCTTCTCGTTCTCACAATTAGGACGAGTCAAGTATTCTCGTGGTTTTATTTGTTTCGGAGCTGTTTTTCTGCGGTTACCCTTCCATATTTTTTTTTTGGCTCGACTTGTGATGACTTCCACAAGTTGATTTGTCCATTGCTGGTTGCGCTGGTTTTCGCTTCATACTGAATTCGCCTTTACTGATCTCGACTTTGTATTCTTTTTCGTTCTTCTATATTTTGGCTCCGACACTTCGCCTGACACTATTGAACGTTTGATCGACGAAGGCACTCAATCATCCGACTCAGTACAAGTGGTCGGTTTTAAGGTAGTTGATCTATCGCAAAATTCTCCCGCTTCAGATGTATCTTCCTTTGGTATTGACCGAGATGCATACAATCAGGCGTGGATGTCAGGTGTCCTAACGGAGGACCCAGAGTCTTCCCGAATTAGAGGGTCTCCTCGTCTTGATCTCATTCCCCGAGGTATTCCCCTTAGGGTCTTAGATATTCCTGTGTATAGAACAAGTCATTCTTCTTTACCCATAATTGCACCTCTTCTCGAGGTTCAAAATGTTGTATCTGTACCATGTCCATTAGCTAAGTTAGCTATTTTAAATTCTTTTTGGTATGCCTCTGCAACCGAGGTCGAGGGCTTTAAAATATTCAGCGGACTTCCCGCCGACTGGGAGCTGGTCGTTCCCAAACCTAATGACGACTTCGCTAATCCCCCTCCCGGTTTTAATGGGAAAAAGTTTTCTTAAGCTTTCAATGGTGTTCCTAATTTATTTTCTGTCATTTCCTGTTATTATCATATCATCAACATAAATCAAAAGAAAGATCTGCAAGCCTTTATTTGTCTTATAATAGAGAGAAGGATCAGCTAATGAATTATGAAAGCCAAGCTGAGAAAGTGATCCTTTAATCATGGTAAACCAAGCTCTNAAGCTGAGAAAGTGATCCTTTAATCATGGTAAACCAAGCTCTAGATGCCTATTTAAGGCCATAAATAGCCATCTTTAACTTGCATACCAAAGGTTCCTTATCTTCTGAATAAACTTCAAAACCTGGAGGTTGCTTCATGTAGACTATTTCTTCCAACCATTGAAGAAAAGCATTGCTCACATCTAGCTGGTTCACCTTCCATTGCATGCTCACAGCTAAAGAAAGGATTATCCTTATGGTAGTGGGCTTTATAACTGGAATTAAAGTCTCTCTGAAGTCAAAACCAGCTGTTTGAGAGTAGCCTTAAGCTACTAGCCTTGCTTTGAATTTTGAGATGGAGTTATCTACATTTCTTTTTATTTTGTACACCCATTTGCTTCCTACTAAATTGTACCCTTGAGGCAGATGAACAAAATCCAAAGTTTTGTTTCTAATCAAAGCATCATATTCATCCTTTATAGCACTTTTCCACCTGTTATCTTTTAAAGCCTCAGACAATGATGAGGGTTCTGTCTCAGAGGCAATGGCTGCATAAGCTTTAGGCTTGAAAATTCCCTT